GTGTAGATGTTGAATTTACTCCAAGTACTCGATAAATTGCTATTCAGACAGATCTTCTAAAGGTTTTGGAAATAAAAGAACCAAGTGTTCTATTCTGTTACAATACGGACACAGAAGAATCTACACAAACCAACATCACTATTAAAAAAACTGAAAAGTCGCGATCAATTATGTGTTATATAATAATATTGAAAATAATACAGAATCAGAAATGAGAAGCACAGCTTCTGGTACAGATTTAACAATACCATATGGATTCAATGAATTTGTTGACATTAAAACTGATTTAGTTTTAAAGCAACTTGGAGGTGTATCTTTAGCTCTATTATCTGTTCTTTTAGAATTTATTAAATATGGTATTGGTGGACAACCTAGTTATTTAAAGAAAGAGTAATAAATCGAATAATAAATCGATGCAATTGAATCAAACGGACAGTCTTCACGACTTGCTAATGCTAACTGTTAATTTCAGCATGTAATTATCCACAAACAGCGAATAAAACATATTGAGTACTAGGCCATAACGTCCGATTATAATGAGAAATCCAAATCGCACTTTTCTTTTGTTCGCTATCTGTCAGAAAATAATTTCCATTACATGTTTCTAAAGAGAATTATTACAGTCAAATATCATCTATTAATATTTTTAAAACCACACATTGAGTATTTATGTGGTAATAGTAACTCACAGTATGCACGGAAATTCAATCACAAAAATTGAATGAGGGTACTATATATTAACGTACATGAAAGATGAATTCCATTATTTATATTCATTCAAATATTACATGCTCCGAGATGCAACCTGTATATTGTAAAAACCTTATTTAACCAAATATTTATTCAATTAATCATTAAAATTAATCGTTATTGGTTTAGTTTACAAGTACATTTATATTTATTTTTTAATAAGATCAAAATAGATATTATTTTCTTCACTGTGGGCCTGCAGCTGCATATTGTGTATAACTTGTGTCGCATGCAAATGTAATTATTCATTACGTATTAAAAATATTTTCATTAGTTTGATGGATTTTAACAGTTAACGAATTAATCTTCAATGTTGGAAAGAAGCATGCCGAAAATGTCTACGTATAACGATGTGTTATATACATTATATTTATTTACATTTATATTTTTGTATTAAGCCAAAGTACTATTCAAATATTTTAGTTTAGTTGCCATCGCCATAGTAAAAATATCGTTACCGCACGTAACACTCACGTGTTTTAACAATAAAGAGAATAATTGAATTTTAAAAAATCGTTTAAGAAAAGGAATTTTTCTTAAGGATAAATAAAGAAATCTTTTGATTTTGCATGATTTTTCGCAAAGAAATTAATAATCTTGATTAAGTGTGTATGTGCATACTTTTTAAAAGTCTTAATTTTAAAACGTATAAATCAATCACATTATTAAAAAAATTTTTACATTAAAATATTTATTATATATTTATCCCACGTTATCCAAATGGCAACCCTTAAGTATGATAAATCGCATTTAATATATTTTCGATATAAATTGCTGCGCTTGTAGGTAGGTACCTACTCTCTGATGTGTGTGTATTATTTCAACTAAACTTATATCGTACATGCACATACCGCATAGTTTAGAGTTTGTAAACTATAAAGAAATTAATATCAAAATAGTTTTGGATCTTTTTCGTCCGCTCAGTGTCGCGTTTATTAAAGTTTCATTCATTATTAACATGATATAAATCCATGCATTTAAGAATTGTCAGGGTACAATTTATCGAAACAAATTATTGTTATTGTGTTCCAAATTTTTCTATGTCACGCGTCTTTACGCAGATATCAGTACGTTCTCGATATATTGAAGTATAAAAGTTATCGCTACTGTCTGTCAATGCCACGTATGCAGATGCGACCTAAAATACCTGAAATTATAAAATATCCGGAAATGTGTATGTGTGTGTGTGTGCCGCTCGAGTCATAGTAATAATTTCCTTAGAAGAGAAATCGCAATAATCGCACTTTAATTACAGAGTCGAGCATTTCTTTACAGAATATTTCCATTTGACGCAATGTCGGATTCCGCGAACCGTTTTATTTTTCCGCTACCGAGATCAGTCTGGGTTAGGTAGGATATGTTGTATGATATCTATGCTCTGTTTAGCCAGTCGAGTTGCAACTTTCAAGGCAGCAAGTCGTAGTGCCAGTGACGACCGTTACGAGACATATACGTCCCGCGAGACACGAAATGTTGCTTGTCGTACGAGTAATGCGATCTATCGAGACATGTAATTTCGTAACAACGCGCAATCAGCTGCAAAAATGCGCTTTGCACCATAGTGAAATGTCAAGGACATGGCAACGAAAAATGGTTTATTCATGGCGCGATAGGACCGATCGAAATTAATCCGAGGGAAACGCAAGGTACAAATTGCCGAATCGAAAATCCCGTCGTATGACACGAGGTTAAATTGCACGTAAATGCGAATTCGACCACGAATTATAATAGCGACGCGATTATGCAACGTGATGGCTCTACAACCTTCGGCGCTCCATTTAACCGCTTTCCGATTATCATTAGTCACATCGCTTCGAGAATCGATGTTATTGCGAAAAAAAACTTACGATAATGTTAATTATTGGCTTATTACATGTGTGCTGAACTTTTACAAAATGACGGTGTAATCTATCAATGTTAACGTGGGCACTTAGGTATTGACGTACTGCGAGAACCGTGACCTCAAATTACTAGTATGGAACTTGCTGTATTCATGACGTAATGTCTATGAAAAATGTTGGCGATGGTATTAGTCACGCTATTCAACTGAAACCCAATCGATCAAATATAATCACGGTAAATGGCAATGGAAATTTAATATTGTCCGTGAATTCTGGGAGAGAAAGAAATGTGTATAAAATGTTTTCTTGACGGAATTTACTTTACAATTAAATTAATATGTTAAAGTATGAATGTTGTTCATTTCAAAAATTTCATTGGTGCACAATTTTATGGCGTTGAAACCATAATTTAAAAATAAACTTGGTAATTGTGATAAAATTATTGAAACAGGAAAATTGTTTTCTCGTTCTCGAGAATACAATGTGAAATCACGCATGTAATTAATACTAATAAAAAATTAAATAAAATATACAATATATATATGTGTGTATTGTTACGGCATTTATAATATTTACGCACAATTGTGCTAATTTACTTGTAATTACAATAAATTAAAGTGAGATTTGTTCAATTTTAATTATGCGACTGACAAATAATTTTGTTTACGCTTTTAACAAATAAGCAGGGTATAGCGTAAAATTAATCATTAACTATTTAATTCTCTGCATTCATCATTCTAACCACCTTCCGGCTTGGTGCAATCCTCATTATTGTCAATTAGGATTAAACGGTTCAGTTGTGTATTTGCCTACAATATTAACTCACTTACTGCGTATTAAATATTGTAAATGATCAATACGTTCGTATATAAATAATAATAAATTTTTACATAAAACAAATATCTATCACATATAAAAGCCGAAATAATGAAAGGCAAAATAACAATTAAAAAATAACAATTTTAAAAAATAATAATTAATCTTGACATTAAGAAGTTTACAGAAAAAATAATTTTGTTAAAGTATCTAAAAATTTGGATAGATACTGATCTGAAAATAATTTTGTTAGATCATCAAAATAATTATATAAGAAACTCAAATATGATGAACAATGCTATAAAAAAATTTTACATTCTAGTAAATAGTTTGAATGTTCTATATAATGCAACAAAATTTATTTTCAGATCTTATCTATAACTGAATTTTTAGATACACTTCAGCGAAATCATCTCTGTATTTAATATTCGATATATTATACGTTTGCGAGTATATCCTCTCTCTGTATTGTTATATTTGTATTTAATAATTTATTAATTCATTCATTCATTCTAGCTTTTCATCACTGCGTATTAATCAATTAATCCATTAACTATCTTGCCTGTCTTAAATGTCCACTTAAAATGCTACGTACTGCATGCAACACAACTGCGATGAGAGATTAAAGCACGCTCTATGCTGCAAGTAGAGAAAAAGACCATTCATGTTGGATATCATAAGAGAGCAATTTTTAATCAAACGAAACCTCGTGTTCACGTTTCCCCACCGTCCTGATACCCGCCTACAGACAAAGTGAGCGGATAGAACATCTATCCCAAAAGAACATCAAACATTTACGATCTTTTGAAAGAACTCGATTATTCATCCATGAAAATTTCTCCTGTTTCATCGAGCGCTTTCATCCCAAGAGTCGTGGCGAATTAATCGCCCGTCCTCTCGCACTAGTTGCATCTGATATCTCCTTAAAGCTTAGAATACCTCCAACATTTTGCTTTTATTCTATCGCCTGCTTTCTACTTATCAAATTATGTATGTATGTACGATATTGAATTACGTGTTTACAATATTTTAATTCTGATTCTAATCAGTGTAACTGTTCTTATCCCGTTAATAATCAAGACATTTATTTTTATACATTTTTGTATTTATATTATCATTACCGACGAAAGAAAAAAAAAAGATAATTTGTCTCAAAATAAAAAAGTAATTTATCACTAAATCTTATCACAAATTTATTATACTTTAAATCAATACAAATACGTTGTAATTTTGTTTTATACAGATCACGTAAATTTGAAGGAGAATTCTCTTGGACTTTGATGCATCATAGCAGAAATACTAATTGGAGATAAGTGTGAGCTGATTCTTCCACACGCAAGATATGCAATCTATTATAAAACATGTGAAGCGTTTCCTCTAGAATTGCAATACATTGAAAAATCTGCTACATATTCCTACAAAGAGAACTCTTATTTTGTTAAATATAAATATATGTGTACATGATACACATTTTGCCATACTCGGCGTAAGATACATGATCAAACATTTTGATCATTAACAAATAGAAGTTTGGAAACGGCATTAAATAGTAAAATAATTATCTTCTCTATATCGCACTTATTTACTATATGTATTATAAATATTAAAATCAAATAATTCTGAGGAATTTACTGAATTTATCAGGCAATCTGCAGATTATTTGTAATGAAATACCGCAATTTTACATAAACTTTACAAAGAATGAGATAAGCCAATCTCACATATGTACATATATGTAGAAATCAATGCCGATGGAAACTTAGGACTATTGAATTAATTCGCTTCACGAATGACGATCTTCCTTTCTTTCTTTTGTCTTCTAATTGCCAACCAATGTACAACGTGGTTACCACATACATATATATATACGTGTCTTATTCCGACAACGTGAGTAACACGCCAGTTTTTCCGAGACCATAGCCGACACTAAAAAAAAGTTGTTAAAAAGAAAGTTTTCCTTTTATAACTCTTGTTTCCACATGAAGAACAAATTGTACTTATGACTTTATATTTATTTATCAAGCCACATCCGCATCATCGCTACAAGGAATCTTTCCTGTGATTGAAACTAGCAGTTATTTTCCACGATCTTCACCACCGCCAATGTTCAAAGATCATTCATACTAAACTCCTATTGTAGAATAACAGTAGATATACGTGAAATAAACGATAGATATAAAACAAGTCTCGTTAAAGGCCACTGTGCATACAAGGCTTAATAAATTATGCAATGTTTCTTGCAACAACTACGTATGGCATGACTTAAAAATTTATTCTGGCGAGAGACAGTCTATTTAATACGCGGTGATATTATTTAATTTTATAAGAAATGCGGACAGCACATATGAATATTGCTAAAACAATGAAGAAGAAATCATGTCTTTTCATCGGTCTAATTGTAGTAACGATCTTGATAACCTGTCTCTATTACTCAGTCACTTATGACGATTTTGAAATTCATAACATATTTCTGAAAATGATTCGTGAACAGGATTATTTTCCAAATGAAATCGACAGGGCAAAAACATACAGGGAAAAAGGCGTAAAGACTATTCTTCTGTGGAACACATTGTTTGGCAATAAGAACTTTTATTTCGGACAAAAAGAAGACATTTTCCGCGATTGTCCTTTCGATAAGTGCAAAATGTTTAACGATCGGAACTATTTGAATGTGGAAGATTATGACGCGATTCTTTTTCACGGTAATGAAATGAACGACTATGAAGTACCACAGAAGAGGAAGACGACGCAATTTTACGTCTACGTTAATTTAGAAAGTCCAGCCAATCGAAAAGTGCATCAGAAATATCAGAGAAACTTTTTCAACCTCACAATGACATACCGTCTTGATAGTGACATACTCTGGACATACATGATTGTAGAAGATGTAAAAAATGGCGAATTCGTCGCACCATCAAAGGATGTTGATTGGAGCGCTTTTCAAAATCATACAAGTAATATATTCTTTGAATGCATTATATGTATATCTATTTCTTCTTTATTCAATGCCGTTTTGTAATCAATGAAAATATTCAGATTAAATATCACGTGTAAATGTTATTCAATATATAGAAATGTTTTTCACCCTTTATGTTGTAAAATCGCACAATTTTAAAGGAAATTTAGCGTGACGGTCGGGATTTCCGATGAACTCAGTTTTACCGATTAAATGCAATTTACATACGCGATTTTACAATATAAACATACAATTTATAAGATCATATCACTAGATTATTAATGTAGTGATACGCACAAACATTTGTACAATTTGTCAAAAGAGAATCTTTTAAATTAGATTCCTAAACTTAACAATTTATCATTACTTATTTATTTATTCCAAATAATAATAATGTAATCTTCTTACGGACTCTCCCAAATTCAACAACAAAAAACTCCAAAACCAGGGCGAATGAAAGTTAGCGTGGTAATTAATACGCAATCTTAATTCTTCAATTCAAATTAGAATCTTTATTCCAACGATAGTACGTTTCAGTTCACTTTGGAACCATCTTCAGCAAACAAATTTAAAATATCAATCCCATCATGTCAAAGAAAAATCACCATCAAATTAGCAGATTTGATGTTATAATATATCTATTCGAAACATTAAATTATCTTATAAATATTGATATTGAACAAATTTCAAATTAACAATAAAACCGGTGACTCACCCTAAAACATAGAAGGAATTCGTCTCAACTTAAAAGAATTAGTAAAACCTTTAATACTAAATTAGCTTTTACAAGCTTAAATAAATTAAATAGTTTGATCAAGGGACATAAAGACATTCTCCCAATAGAAAAAAGAAAAAATGTGGTCTATAAAATTTCGTGTAAATCTTGCGATGCCTCTTACGTCGGTCAGACTAAAAAAAAACTAAAACCTAGACTGGCTGAGCACCACAATCATATCAACCGGAATAGTAACAACCAATCAGTGATCACAGAACATCGTATTGAATTTGATCATGACTTCGATTGGGAGAATGTCGCGATTCTAGATGAAGAGCGTTTTCTGAATAAACGTTTAATATCGGAATGCCTTCATATTTTAATGCAACAAAATAGTCTAAATTTATGCTCAGATACAGGAGGTGTACATCATGCCTATATACAATTATTAAAGGACATCAAATAGTTATATATTTTCGGTTATACAAATTTTGTTTATGTATCGACATTATCTTTTTCTTTTTTTTTCTTTTTTTTTCGTATTTCTTTTTATTTTCGTGATTTGACCTGACATGTCTTTCCCAGTATATTAAGTGTATTAGTTAATAATCTGATCTCGTATGTCCGTTAAGGTCAAAATTCAAATCTTTTAAGGTTAGGTATTAAAAGTTCGTACACACGATACACACACTGCACATATGGCGTTCCATTTAAGCGTGGCAAACTGTGTTTGAGTGTGTTATACTGTGTCGGTTTGTGTCTCCTAAAAGGAAAGCAGCTATTATAACGGGTGGCACCCAGTTGGACACGGCTCAATTGGACACGAGCCACTCACGGCGCTTAAGGCTACAAAGCTCCTAGGCACCTGGTCGCTGTGATTGGTGGTGTCCAATCGAGCCGTGATCAATCGGGATCACCCCGATTATAACATCAAATCTGCTAATCTGATAGTGATTTTTCTTTGACATGAAGGGATTTATATTTTAAATTTGTTTGCTGAAGATAGTTCCAAAGTGAACTGAAACGTACTATTGTTGGAATAAAGATTCTAATTTGAATTGAAGAATTAAGATTGCGTATTAATTCCTACGCTGACTCTTATTCGTCCTGGTTTTGGAGTTTTTTGTTGTTATTTATTTATTTTTCATCTGGCTCTACCTTTGTTTAACGCGTATGATCTTCATAACCTGTTTAACATAAAGAAAACATTTTAGTAAATTACAGCCGGTATTCATAGTCCTTTCTTATTTCAACATCGTCTTAAGTAATGCCTTAAGATGCTAATACGGTCCTCTTATTGATTTGTGACATCTTGAGATTGTACTTAAAACGGTCTTAAATATAAGATCCGACTATGAATATACCGCCCAAACAGTTTTGGTCGCCATATATTTGTGATAAAATTTGGTCAGAAATTACAAATTTTTACTCCAATATGGTAATCAAAAGTGTCAATTCAATGAAGCATTTATTTAATAGATAAGTTATGCAGGCCTTATGCGTGAAATAAAGATAGAGCCAGATGTAACATAAATAAATGATTATTAATGAATTGTTATAAAATTAAGTTTGGAAACCTAATTTAAAAGATTATCTATTTTAACAAATTGTATACATGTATGGATGCGATGTCGATGTAATAGTATACAGTAATATGTTAATGTAGTAGTATGTAGTAATGCGTCTTGTAAATCGTATATAAGTCGCATTTAAGGGGATGCTGGAGTGACCAAATTGTCGAGACATATAAATCTTCGAATTTATTGAACGGAATAAAAATCCTTTTACTGGATTCAAGTAAACGCAAAATTGGGAGGTGTTGCAGTGGACTTTATAAAATCGAAAAGGAAGTTAAAAATTTGGTAAAACTGCAAAAAAGGGGAGCAACCGCCAACGATCTTGACCTTGACATATGTTGTCAAGATCATCACCCTGAGTAATCTCCAACAATTTTCAGCCATTGCTCCTTATTCATTGAAAAATTATTAACAAAAGAATTTGAAAAAAATAACGTCTTATTTCTGCTTAGGGACGCACGACTTCTACGCGAAGCGACTCCCACTCTACCTCCTCTCCTGCTTGGGAGCGTACGACTTCCACGCAAAGCGATTTTCGAAGTCATGACCCTGAATGATCTCCAACAAGACTTCGAAAGTTGCTTCACTGTGGAAGTCGTGCGCTTTTCAGCAGGGGGAGAGGTGGGGTGGGAGTCACTTCGTGTGGAATAGGGGGGGGGGGGGGGGGAGGTGGGGTGAGAGTTGCTTCGCGTGGAAGTCGTGCGCCTCCAAGCAGAGGGAGGGAAGTGGGATGGAAGTTGCTTTGCATGAAAAGTCGTTACGTAAGCAAGGAAGGGTATAGGATAGTTTTAATATTATATATAGCAGAAATAAAACATTTCTTTTTTTTGTTAATAACTTTTTAACGAATAAGCGACGGCTAAAACTTGGTGGTTGCTCAGGGTCTTGATCTTGACAACATATGTCAAGGTCAAGGTCGTCGGCGGTCGCTCCCCTTTTTTGAAGTTTTACCAAAAACTTACATTTTTTCAATTTATAGAGCGTCATCTAACGTAGATATTTCCTTAATACAAAAATTTTAAAGATCGTATGGGCAAAACGACAGTTCAGCATCCAGCGTTTTATGTGCACAAACAATACTGAGTATAAGACTAAGATTAAGAGCTTAAAAGAAAGATTTATATCGATTTGTAAATTACGTATATACGAATGCTGAGCCAAAACTCGGAATGATACAAACAAAGCAGTAATTCTAGGAGTAGATGTTCCATCTTGTAAGAGATGGCATTACAATATGTTAGATAAAGACAGATGTATGCATTTAAGTAAAACAGAACGATAATGTAAGAAATAAATCAAAGATGTCACTATTATCGACTTTTTAAATTTGGAATTTAAAAAATCTGTACTAACGACATCGATCAAATTTAGCCGTTACTCCAGCATTCTCATGACCGATAAAACAACGATCCTGTCGAATATTGGCAGAGAGATACGCCAGAATCTCTCTTTGAAATCACAAAATACGAGGGTCGTCTGAAAAGTTTTGAGCCTCATCATGAAGATGGCGTTACTCGTCAAAGCCATTCTGGTATTATAATCGTGATACTTACGAAAGATATCTGTGACAATTATGGTCACTTTGGACGTTCAGTTCTTGTTTGACAATCATTTGTGTCGTCATTTTGTAAAAATGGAAAAGATTGAATATCGTGCTATAATTAAATTCTTGAATTTGAAAGGCAATACGTCTACGCAAATTAAAGCCGAGTTGGACGCTGTTTACGGGGACTCTGCCCCATCATTTGCCACCGTGAAAAGATGGGTAGCTGAATTTAAACGTGGTTGTATCAGCTTAGCTGATGATGAGCGCTCGGGACGGCCAACAACTGCGACCACCACCGATAATATCGAATAAATTCATCAAATGATAATGGACAACCGTCGAATTAAGGTTAGGGAGATAACAGAGGCTGGTGGCATATCAAAAGAACGTGTTTGTCATATATTGACTGAAGAATTAGGCATGTGTAAGTTAACCGCGCGTTGAGTGCCGCGCTTGCTCACTCTGGATCAAAAACGCATTCGAATGAACATTTCTAAGGCCCTGTTG